CGGGTACGCGTACATGACCACGTTAGCCCCGAAGCGGGCGAGGTGGTCCTGGGGATCAGTCGTCCCGTTGTACGCCTTGATTTGGGGAGTTTTGAAATTATCCGGGAGAGGACAAGACATTATCCTCCTGGAGAAGGGTGTTACCTCGCTGAAGACCGCCTGGCGGTAGGGGTTCTGGGCGTCCAGCCGCTTCTCCAGTTGCTCGTACATTCTCCACAGCTCGGCTGCGCCTTTGCCTTCGACCGTCGTCCGTCGCTCCTCGGGATCGATCTTGGAGGTCGCTGTGGACTCCCCCCTTTTCTCCTTGAGCGCATCCCTCGAGTCGCCCTTTCGGGCCGACCGAGTGTCCTGCAACCGTTCGAACGCAGAGGTCCGAGGCTTCTTTGACTTGGGGTCTCCCAAACGGTCAAAGGCAGACATCCGCTCAAAGGAGGACGACTCGTCCTCTTCGTCCAACCTGGAAAGCGCATCCGCCATCACGGCTTTCCCATTAGGCTTGGTCGCCTTCTTCTTCCGGGATCGCCTTACTTTCTTCTTTTTCCCTTGGGAGCCCGCGGGTCCAGCCTTCCCGCCTGTGGGTCCCCCAGCCACTTCTTCTACCACAACCTCGCGGTTGGGTGCAAGTGCGGCCAGCACCTCTTTGAATTGTTCGGCCGTGATTCCAACCCTCTGAATGAGGGCCTCAGCCTCTCCGGTGGTAATGGGAGGGTTCCGACCTCCAGTGGTGCTGTTCTCCCCCTGTTGGGGAACTCCGGTACCCACATTGGCGTTACTGCGTGTTTGCACCATCGTCTTAATGGAGGGTTTCCTCTGAGTATGATTCTCGAACTCTCAATGAGAGCACCAATTTGATGGACAATAAATCCACCAAAGGATCCGATTCACGAAGCGGATCGTAAGAACAAAATTCAGAACGAGAATTCGAGAATTGGGTATGTATTATTAGCTTGATCTAGCTTGAATTTCCTCCTTTTGGGTCTCATCTATTTATACCTGAGCTACATGCACTTAAGGGTAACACATAATCGATGGAGTCTATCCCGTTAAGGGCGCGATCCCCTTTTTCTGGCTCTGTAACGGCCAATTTGCTCCGTCTCCTTCTCAGTAACCGGCTCTGCCAGCTATGTTTGGTCTAAAGTCAACCGGGCCTGGCTCCATGGGCCGGCCCAGACCTGGGTATTCTCCGAGTGTCTGACCCGAAGTGGTGTAAATGGTTCAGTTGGGCCGCCCACTGGGTTTCGGCCCATCAGGGAGTATGAAATAAAAGGCGTATAAATTCAAGGAGTGCTAGAGGATCCATCTCATTTGGGATACATCAAATACATACTAATGTAAAAATAAGTACATACAAACACTTAATGTTTGTGCATGCACAGATATTAAGTATTTGTGTGTGACTATTTTCAATTTGATGTACATTTAGTGTACCGTGACTATTTTATTAAATTCGAATAAAGCTAAGCCAACACCCTAGCTAGTTCGAGTAGAGTTCCTTATTATTAGCTTCCTCCCACCTACACACTTTAATCGTTAGATATAGCATCCACAGTGATTTGACTATAGGGTCGGGATTTGTGTTTCTTTCGGGTGGGTCTTGGTCTTGGTCTTGGGTTACGGTCCGTAGGGGCTCAGCTTAGCCCACATACTTTTTGTCCCATTTTAACACAATTCATGATTGATTGATTATCATTGTTATTTCAACCTTTTATTTTAGCTATTTTTTCCCTTTATCCGAATATAATTTTTTTTATTTTGTTTTCTTTCGTATATTTTTTTAATGAAGGTTCACTATAAAATTGCTTACTCCAAAAAAAAATTGGGAGTATGTGAGTTCTTAAATCTGTTTAATGAAGAAAGGGTATTTTTGTCTAAATACACATTTATTTGAGAAATGAAAAGATAAAATTCAGAAGGAAAAAAGAGAAACGAAAAGATTAAATTCGAATGAAGGAAGTATTTTTTAATGTCATTGACTTGATTATAATATCGTTTCTGCATATACGTTTTCTCAACCTAATGACGCACAATAACCAAACTATAATAATATTGATATGAAATTATACTGAGCCCAATCTAATAACACACAATGAGTAAACAAAAACCTCTCGTGACTAGAAATAATATTATATTACATTCGTTCTAAATTCTAATGTATTCACCCAAATTTTTTAATCAAACTAAAATTATAATGTATATTAGTGTAAAAATATTTGGTTCATTGTTTAAGTCATCTACACGATAGTCCGAAACAAGACCCGAGTAAATGCAATTAGGAATGATAATGGACCAGTAGCCCGAATCCCATAATCGTTATTGGGCCATCACAAAAAGATTTGTAATTATATTGGGCTTGATGCTTAGTTCTTCCGTTATGCGGCCCGCCATACGCACTCTCCAAATCCCCACCAGCAATCTCTAACTTCTAGTCGTCTTCCTCGCTCACGCGACCCGCCATTGTTGATAATAAATTGCAGAAAATGAATTCAGCTTTACAGCTAGCGTCCCCTTCCCACTACTTTCCCGCCAAAATCCATTACTATCAGCGCCCGAGCTTCTCGTATTCATTCCAACGCCTCCGGCAGCTCTCATCTCTGCGACCCAAGTTCTCCGCCAAACAGGGCATTAGGGTTCGCTCAGAATTCGGTGCTAAAGTCAATGGAATTCTCCAATCCGATTCTGACCCTCGTTTCATTGACCGGGTCTGTTCATATACTCTGTATTATGAAACCCTTTGGTCCTTTTCATTTGTGTATACACTTGTCTGTCTGTTTGTCTCTGGTGAAGTGTTATATGTTTCAGTGTTTTTTTGTGTTCTTTCCATTTGCTGACTGTTCTGTGTTTCAAGAATTGATTAGCAAAAAGCACTAGAAGCAGCAATGAGTGATATAAACAGTTCCTTTGGCAAAGGAAGTGTTACAAGATTGGGAAGTGCCGGTGGAGCTCTTGTGTATGTGTTTTCTTTTTGTTGGCTATTCTGACACATTTGCTCTGTTTGGATACATCAAGCAATTCGAAAATGGTTCAGCTTAGAGTGGACAAGGTTTTAGCTTTAGTTGAATAAGGGACTAAATAAAAATGGCATATTCGACTTACATTGCTTCTTTTTTATGAAGTTTTTGGTAGTAAATGTAGCAAATATATTAAAGGTCCAACATTTGCTCTTCTGGGGGTTAGGCGTTTTGCGTAGTTGAAACAATCACAAAATGGTAGATTGTATATCTCAAAAAATTACCATCCAAGAAAAAATAGTCAATTAACCAATGCAGTTGCCAAGATGATGCTACAAGAAGTAAATTGGAATATAATTGTATTGTGTACATTTTGTTGATCACTCTTCCCCAAAGTTGTATGCTTTTACTTTCCCTTTGTTATTGTTGTTTTCTATCTTTTCTTTGTGCAGAGAAACTTTCCCTAGCGGCATTCTGACTTTGGACTTTGCTTTAGGCGGTGGCCTTCCCAAAGGGAGAATTGTTGAGGTTTATCTTTCAATACCTGTCAATTTTTCATCCATAGGCACCTAAAGCATCATTGCATGTGGCGGACAATAGAATGTCATTTAAGGTTTCCATTTTTATAATTATTTCAGATATATGGACCAGAAAGCAGTGGAAAGACCACCTTAGCCCTCCATGCTATTGCAGAAGTGCAGGTCCAGTATGTGTTCCGTTTTATTCCATGCAGTAAGGCTAATGATACATATCCGTAGTTATATGCGCCGTGTAAACTTACCATGAGGATAAGATAGTAAAGCCGTCATAAAATTTAATTTTAGATGTGCCCTGAAAGTTTCACCCATAATAATTCTCTTTCCTATACTATGGAGTGTCTCCACATACACTATGCTTATCCTTCTGGGTGGACGTTTGAATTTGGGTGAGGGGATGGGGGTGGTGAAAATTTACAACAACAAACTAGTAAAATCCCACAAAAGTAGGGCCTGAGGGTGAGTGTACACAGACCTTACCCCTACTTGGAAGTAGAGTGGTTGTTTCCAAGAGGCCCCTCCTAACACGGTGATGAAGATTTTTTTGGTATAAAAGCCACAGAAGAACATGATATTATGAATAAAGGTGAATATAATCTACTGTGCCGCAAACATTTTAACTTTTTTTAGTGTTATATATGCAGAAGCTAGGAGGCAATGCAATGCTTGTTGATGCTGAGCATGCATTTGATCCAACATACTCCAAAGCATTGGGTGTTGACGTTGAGAATTTAATCGTGTGCCAACCGGATAATGGAGAGATGGCTCTTGAGAGTAATACTACCCCTTCCTCCACCCTCCCAATCTTTTGGCACTAGTGGTCATGTCAACATATAGTGTTACATTGTGTTTAGTTACTTATAAACTATTTTGTTTCAGTTGCAGATCGCATGTGTAGATCAAGTGCTGTGGATCTCATATGCATAGATTCTGTCTCTGCTCTCACTCCACGTGCTGAGATTGAAGTATTTTACATCCTTAAAATTTTCAATTTCAAGAAACTGTTACGGGTTGTTTGAAACTGGGAAAAGTGCTAGAGAAAGAAAATAGGAATTAAAGAAAGTTTGGTGAAAACTAAAAAAATGGTTATAAATCAATTTTCGATTTTTGTTCAAACTCATCTTTATTTATATACGTTTATTATCAAGCTTGTTTCTTTCGTATTTTCCTAGTTAAAATAAAAAATGAAAACCTATTTTCCTTGGCATTTTTTATTCTCTTACCATTTCTTGCTTTCCAAACATGGCCTCAAGAAATGTCTTCTGGTCTTGACATTTATGTGGTGTGTAATGTTTTTGTACTTTGCACAGGGAGAGATTGGAATGCAGCAAATGGGGTTGCAAGCACGTCTGATGAGTCAAGCTTTGCGTAAGATGTCAGGCAATGCTTCAAAGGCTGGTTGTACACTAATTTTTCTGAATCAAATACGGTATAAGGTACAAATGTACCATACTTATTATGATTCAGTCCATGCATGAACATGTCCTTTTGCGACTCTTTATATTGTAGACTCTAGGTACATGTAGAGGATAAGCTACGGGAAGCTAGGTTGAGGTGGTTGGGCATGTAAAAAGCTCCAATGCGGACATCCTAGGGGCTTGTGTAGTGGGCTTGCTAAGGGGTAAAGCATACCTAAGAAGAGTTGGAAGGATGCCATTAGATTGGGCTTACAACTTCAGGATCTTACTAAGGATATGACCTTTAGATAGGAACGTAGAGAGATCTAGGATTAGAATAGTTGGGTAGACCTTTGGGTCTTAGTTTGTAGTTTCTTAGTTTATGCTGGTGCTTCTTTACCATAGTTTGTAGCTTGAGCGTGTGTGCTTTCTGAACTGTGGGTCTAGTTGGTAGTGTTTGTATGTATGCTTCATGTCTTTGTGCTCTTATTTTGTGTATACTACTTTGTTTACTTTATGTATGCATATGTGTTTGAGTCTAGAGTCGTTTGAAAACAACTTCTTTGCTTTTGACTTTTGAGTAGGGGTAAAATCTACTCACACACCCTCTCCTAGACTCTAATTTTGTGGGATTTTACTGGGTAGTTATTGTTACATTGCAGACTCTAATATTATTCTTCTTTTGGTTTAATTAGATAGGTGTATACTATGGGAACCCAGAAGTGACTAGTGGAGGAATTGCATTGAAGTTTTTTGCTTCGGTTCGACTTGAAATCCGTCCTGCTGGGAAGATAAAGTCTGTAAGGACATCATCCCTTTGAAATGAGTTTATCTTCCTATCTATAGTTGTTCAAATTTGTGTTAAACTTCCATTATTTTGTTTAAAGGCCAAAGGAGATGAAGAGGTTGGATTAAGAGTGCGGGTACGAGTTCAAAAGAGTAAGGCAAGTAATATTAGCAAATTTCACACAAAGAAATTTAGTTATCTCTATAAATGCATGCATAAAATCATATTGGCAAATATCATGAGATCAAATTCCAGAACCATCTTCATCATATGTTTTTTTTTCCGACATGCATGGAAAAAATCATTAGGGAACAATTTGTTGATGTTCTAAAATCAACCCACGCATTATGGAACCATTTCTCTTCATCCAAAAATCAGCATGTTTTATGTGAGGTTTCCATCTTACGTCTATTAAGAATAAGTATTGGGCTTAACTCACTCTAACCCCTCATAGCTTTGATACCATGTTAAGAATAAGTATTAGACTTAACTCACCCCAAATGAGCTCTTAAAACACGAAGTTTACCTTATATAGAGTACTTATTAGGGGCAATATCCATTCATAACGTCCCACAAGCATTTCTATGTATTGTGTTTTGAAAAATCTCACAGGTGTCAAGGCCATACAAACAAGCCGAGTTTGAGATTACTTTTGGAGAGGGAGTGAACAAGCTGGTATGTGAATTTACAGTATTATCCCTATTACAATGTACCTCAATTTCTCCCCACTCTTAATCTTTGGTTGAGCTGTAGGGTTGCGTGCTGGACTGTGCTGAGGCAATGGGTATAGTGATGAAGAAGGGTTCATGGTACAGTTATGGTGATCATAGGTTAGGTCAGGGTAGGGACAAGGCTTTGCAGTACCTGAGAGAAAATACCCCTGTCTTTGAGGAACTAGAGAAGGTAAATGTGTAATGCTGATTATTACTCTTTGTATTATTGTACCCCGACCGGATACTGAGGCCCGCAGAATATTGAACTCCACATGGGACACTTCACCCAAAAGATTCTATTTCCCTCTATAAAAGAAAAAGACCCAATTCCCAACCCCCCCACACCCGTCGTCTTCTCGTTGTAGAGCTTGGAAGCTCCATTAATGGCTTCCAAGCCCACCTCATGTACATATGTAAATGCTTTCCAAATACACAATAAAATACATGGTCGCCCAAAAGGCTTGTAGTTTTTACTGATTTGGTTTCCACGTGAAAATATTGTGTCCATACATGTATACTGGTGCACATTCATCATATTTATATTATGCTTTTTTATGCCTAAAAATAGGTATCAATGGAGTTATCTTCTATCGACGTACGAATTATTCATTTCGATTTCCGAATGATTAAACCAACAACCCTTGTTTTTGGAGTGTATAGATTGTTGGATCATCTCTAGTGGAAGGAAGTGTGCAAGTTGGCTCTCCTTTCGTGAAGCACTCACAACAAGAGTTGTATCATCAAGATGAAGATATGTTTGAAGATATGAGTTGACCTCTGCCCAATATCCAATATTTGCCCCCCAAGTTTCATACATTTCATTGGTTTGCTAGTGCAGAAAGTTTTGCAGAAGATCAAAAACAATAACTCCCAGATGATCAAGTAGTTCTTCAAGTATAATGATGATGAAACCAGTGATGGTGTTGTAATTTCTGCAGTAGGATTTTATGCTAGAGGATATAAGACATAGGCACAACATTATCATTAAGAGGATGGTGTAAGGTATTATTGCAACCCAGAGAAGCCATTATAACCTTAGTGTATGTTTTTGTACGCCATTTAATCCGAGATTGTTGGCGATATATTGTACTTTCATTTGCCGTCAAGCAAAAAAAAAGAGAAAAAATCTTCCTTTGTGAAAATTGATGAAAAAGAATACAACAACCCAGTTGAAACTCACTTCAGTAGGGTCTGGGGAGGGTGTGTTTATGCAGACCTTGCCCCTACTTGGAAGATGATGAAAAAGAATAGAAAAACTAAATTTCATTAGAAGACGATTATTTGATTGGTTTAAAATTTCCACAAAAAAACAATGAGAAGATTTTTATTTGAGGAAATGAAAAGATGATTTGAAACACGAAAATATGGTAAATGAAAAGAGTATTTTAGAACAGATGAAGTACAAGATAAGAGTTGATACTTCTTCCTAATTTACAGATGGATATATATAGATAATACATTACAAGTATTGAAGAACACACATAAACGGATTATAAAAGAAAAGTAGGCAAATTATTTCATGGTCCTAAGGTCCATGCTAGTGTTATGAACCTTAATGAGATACGAGTTTGCCAGAACCGAAGAACAACCCTTATAGGTAAGAGATATGAGTTTTTTGGCAGCATCTCTTATGAAGCAGAGTTTTGTGGTTTTAATTGAGACTGGAGTGAATATATTACCAACCACAGTGACATTTTTTGCACATGAATCAAAATGCCATTTCTCAAGAATCTACTCTAAAGAGCATTTCACTAACAGAGAATGATCATCCAGCTCTGAATCCAGTGATGAATCTATGAACACCATTAAAATCAGACACTATCTTCACATCAGAGAATGCACCTTTACTCTCTGTTTCAATGTAATTAGCCAGAAGTTTACTATGTTCGTCCCCGTTCGTCTGCACCAACAAAAATATAAGGTTATGTAATAACCTAAATGTAAAAATGGGTTGATATCAGCTTTTCTGGTAATTGATATCAGAAAATGGGTGGAGGAACTAATTTTCTTATATTTTAGTCATTTCTTTTTTGGGTATTTGATGTAGGACTTTATGTCATCAACATTAAAGATAAACTGTTCTACCTCGAAAGCAAAGAAACCGCCCGGTTTCAACACTGAAGCAGCTCCCTTGCAAAGATGCAAAAGATCTTTTAAACCATCTGGTCCACCATCCAACGCCAGTTTCGGTTCATGTTTAGCAACTTCAGATTGTAAACCTGCAATGTGTTGGGTTGGAATGTATGGTGGATTGCTCACAAGCCCATCCAGTTCTATCCCTTCATCCTTGAGTGGCTCAAACCAAGATCCTTGTCTTACTTTCACTTTGCTCTGAATGACAGAAGACACATCAACCTTAATAAAGCGTTATGTATCCCACATCTTAAAGTAAGAGAAAGAATGATGAGTTAATAAGGGAATTCATTCTTTTAGTGCAGTTTGATCCAAGTCTTAGGCCGTAGTTGAACAACACCTACACTTTCCTCTATCATAAACATGCAATGGAAATACCCATTAACCTTAGTAAACACATATAGGGGTGTTTGCCATTGTGTTCATTGTTCAAGAATTGCAACTTTTAAAAGCCCTTCAAAAAAGGTAGCAACTTTACAATGAACATTAGAGTGGAGTTTCTTTTGACACCCACCCTAGATGTCAAAATATGACACCAACCATTTGAGGGACCCACGTCCATCAGACGCCGAAGTGGTTCCTACCCACGGACCCCCACAACTCTACATCATGTTTCACCTATATGCTACAATGTTTTTCCAGTGTTAAGTTGTGGGGATTACGTGTAGAAACTAGTTCGGAGTCTAACAAAGTGCGCGGAAACATTGTTAGCAAGAACCTGCAAGTTATACCTCTGCACATTGGCAGAGGCGACTGCAGCGGCAATTGGGCTCAAGTCGATGGCAACAACGGTTCCGGACGGGCCCAAAATCCTAGCGAGCCCAATAGCAAGAGCACCACTTCCGGTGCCCAAATCAGCCCAGAGCCCATTTCTCAATCGATCATCTTCCTCGACAGCATCTTCCACCAAATCCACAATCAGCTCAGTCTCAGGCCTGGGTATCAAAACACCTTCTTGAACACCCAAAACCAAATCTCTCCAGTGCTCACACCCAACCACATACTGGAATGGCCTTCTTTCCTCTACCCTCTGTTTCCAGAGAGAATAAAGATCGTCCAAACACGCCCTTATCGACACCGGAGTGGAATGACAATCGGAGGAGAGCAGTGCTTCCGGCGTCTGAACCGCGTCTTCCACCAGCCATTTGAGCTCTCTGAGAAGGAGCGCCGAGTCCGGGCCGTTGTCCTGGACCAGGAACGTAGAGCCCACGGAAGAAGCTAGGGTTTCGGCCCAAAGGTGCCATCTTTTCAGATCGGACAGGGCGGCGCTGAAAGACGCCGGCCGCAGATACAGCGGCGTTTGAAGCTTCGGCGAGCACGAGATGGCGGAAACGGAAATGTGTCTGCGCCGGTGATTCAAGCTGAGGAAGAAACGTGAAAATGGGTGTCGGGTCGGGTTTGATTGGAAGAAAGAAAGATTGGCGGCGATTGAGGAGATTGGAGCGCGCGTGAAGCTCATCCCCACGACCCCTTTCTTGCTACTGGCGCTTCTGCTAACCTTAATTAATTTAACGGGCCCCATTAGAATAATCCCTCCATCCTAAAATAACTTTTCATTTCACTTTATGAATTTTGGATTTAAATTATTTTTAATTCAATTTATTAAAATATTATGTCAAATTTTAAATAAAAAATGTTACTCCTTCCGTCCTCATTTTGATTATAATTTTTTTCTTTCCTTTCGATAATTTTTATTTATTTACATAATTTTATTAAGTATTCGATAAAATATAAATATTTTTGTCACAACTTATTTTATAGAACTTTCGACGTAGTTTTTTTATATGTAATTTTTATTTTTTATCGATAAACCAATTTGTTAATAAACTAATTTTAAAAGTGAGATATTTCTCCTCGTAAATCCTAATTTGTTTTACATCAAGGTCCATGTTATAAGAATGAATCTTAGGTCCACGGAAGAATTTGCCGATAAAAAAGAATATAAAAATAAACATGCAGTGTCTTTGGAAAAAATGAGTGGCCCACATTTAAGAAAAATAGTAGGATAAAAATGAGAAGAATAATAAGAATGACGAGAGAAAAATGGATAGAAAAAATGATGTGATGTTCGTAAAAAAGAGATGATGTAGAAGAGGATAGGAATTTGATTATATAAAGAGTAAACATACAACTTAGTTTGTAATGGATGGAATACGAAACATGGCTTATTTTGTTAAAAGACCAATAAATAAATAAATAAAGGTGGGAAATGAAATTCAACCCAAAGTTGACTTTATTAATTTTTTTCTACACAATAAATAGTGGTTTTAGGAAAGGATAAATTGCGACTAGTATAAAAGACAAAAGAGAACTACCACTATACAAACCATTACGTATCTCTTTACTTTTGTCCGACCTTAGCTTGAAATAGGTGCCTTTTATGGCCGATATTGCATCATCTCTCATTTGACCTAAAAAGTTCATTGGGATTAGGCTTGATGTGGGTTAGATATTGACTAATTGTACAAAATTGAACTTTTTAGTTAATTTTGTTGATTACTACCTCCGTCCTAGAGTATTTGTCCACTTTCATTTTTACACATCATTTAACACACTTCTTTAATCCATTTTATCTTGTAATTTGTATATTAAAAAATTATAAAAATTATATATTAATAATCTATATGTTAAGACAAATCAAACAAGATCACACATGAATATATTTAGACTTACACATTGAGAGAATTTGATGAGTTAAAGTGTTTAGATGAACAGTTTCAAAAGTCAAAATTGGACGAATACTCTGGGACGGAGGGGGTATTTGATAAAATTTTTAATATAATTTTTAAATATATGATTTTTACTTTTTAATTTTACACTTATAATCAAATACAAAGTAAATTAAACCGAAAATAATTTTGGTCAAATCTTGTATATCGAATTGGGAAGAAAGTTTTAAGACGGGGGAATACTACATGACTACAATAGTTTTCTTTTAAGTAAGAAAGAAAGAGAATAAAAAGAAAGAAAAGTTTTTGAGATTTTGAACGTAATTCTAAAACCAAAAGAGTAAGCTAAGAATATTAGAGTTTGTCCTTTATAACTTAGTCCATCCGTTTTAAAAATAATCACACTTTTCATGATCCAAAGATAATAGAATTTCTTTTATTTATGTATTTTAATTGATTATTTAATAAAATAAAATATTCTTGTCATTTCTTATTTTGTAGATTTTTGGCATAAATTTTTAATATGTTAATTTTATTTTTAATTTATGTACCAATCTTTAAATTAAATTATTTTTAAAAATTTAAAAAACCACTTTATTTTTAATTTATGTACCAATCTTTAAATTAAAATAAATTATCTTTAATTTATTTTGTATAAAAAAAATTTGAGACGGAGTGAGTATTTTAAATTCAACCAACTTAATTTAGTCTAGTACAACATTTTTTTACTTTAGATCACAAATATCAACATTTAACTAAGTTATGTTCTGTTTCAAAAAAAAAAAACTAAGTATGTTCAAATTTCCTTCCATATTCATTTTTTACCAAATTACCAAACAGTGTTAAAAATGATTTTTTTTAAGGAAAATGCTAGAGGTACACTAAAAAAGGCAAGAAAATTTCAAAAAAAAATAAAAATAAAAAGAAAATAAAATAAATAGTGTAGAGGCAAGTGGTGTACATTTAGGATACAAGCATATCCTTTTTTAATGATTGAAGTGGATAAAGAAATTGAACAAAAATATAGTGAAGATTTTTTCGGGCGTAAATCATAAATAGTGAATGGCTGAAAAAATTCAGTCCAATTAAAATTGATAAAAACCCAGGGAAAAAAAATCTCCAGATATTTCATTTTTGCAGTCCCTCTCTCTCTTTTATCATTCTGTACTTTTCTTAATTTTTTCCCCAAAATCAGTATAAACGATCTCTAGGGTTTAAATTACATATTGTTTGCATTATGATTCCATTTTGATCAATTTCCGTTTCAGTTGCAGCTCTGTTCTCTTATTGAAAATAAGTGTTCTTGAATTTTTTTTTAAAAAAGAATTGGGATAAGGGATAATTCGAATTCAGATGGGTATTTGCTATTCTTCCGAGAGTAGAAATGGAAACGACAGCAGTAGAAAGGACAGCGGCAGGAAATCCGTCATCGGCAGCGTCAGCGGCGAGCTCAGCTCATTTTTCAGCAAGCTGAACGGCGGCGTCACCGGAAGCGGAGCTCTGGGCGGCGGCGGGCTGAAGGAGCGTGCTCTGCATCAGATTCCCGGGAGACTGTTCTCCAATGGATCGAGCTCCGTCGCGAGCTTGTTTACTCAGCAAGGAAAGAAAGGAACCAATCAGGACGCTATGATCGTTTGGGAGGTTCGTAGCTTCTCTGGAAAATTGACTAAATTTATCCACAAGATTTGTAAAAATTGAATCTTGGTTGCTTTTATTTTTAGTTTGTTTTCGAAACAACAATGTGGATCCGTGTTTGGAATTTTAACTTCACAAATTCTTTTCCAATGGGTATTGCTCCAAACTCTGTCTACCTTACTAGGCAATTTGCTTGACTTCTCTGAAATCAATCAGATCTTGAAGACCTGAGTCGAAGTTCTAAGGTTTTAAAGGAATCATGGTTAAATTAAGGAAACTTCAATGGCCTGCTTCACAGCTTTCATTTTGGTGTTTATGTGACTGAGCATGTGGTTATGAGTCAACTATGTCTTAGCAAGCTTGTACTTGATGAGATTATGTTCATTGGATATGGATAGTACATTGTAGAACATAGAAATATTCATACAGTTGAATTGAAATTGAAAAGGATTGTGTTCCACTTCAAATGAATTCTCTGGTGTGTAGTTTGTTTTAGTTCATTATGAATCTGCGAAGCGTGAAATGAAAGTTATCTTTGATCGTCTTTCAGTTTTGGGTAGATAATTAAAGATAAGATAGTGATTATGGAACAATTTTTATTTGCTACGTAGTATTTAACTGTCAAAAGAATTAATCAATTTGTTTTGTGCATTGCGTCAGTTTATGACTTGGTTGGAATGTTTCTACCATAGAATTTCTGTTCGAGAGCTGGGACAATCTTTTGCGGAGTATTTGATGGACACGGGCCTTATGGCCATATGGTTGCAAGGAGAGTAAGAGATTCTCTTCCACTATTGTTGAACACAGAGTTGGAAGTGAAATCTTCTTCTGCTGATCCAACCGTTGCCGTGGAGAATGGGGGTACAAATGGAAACTCACTACCAGAAGATTTCTTGGATGACGATTTGTGCGACTCAACGGAAGCTGAGAACAATGAGAAATTCCCCGAAATCCACGTGCCACTTAAGCGGTCAATATTAAAGGCATTCAAGTCTATGGATAAGGAACTCAAATTGCACCCCACAATTGACTGTTTTTGTAGTGGCTCAACTGCTGTTGTATTGGTTGTCCAGGTAATTGTTAACGAATACAATGTCAGCTTTATTATTGCTCCCTTGTTTTATCCTTTACTCCCATTTTTGAAATAGGGCAAATATGGGAACACTGTTTAAGATTACTGCATTTTTAGTGTTTTTTTGTATATACATTATAAGCGGATACTCTGTATTATATATTCCCATTTGCTAAATCATGAGGTATTCGCTTTTGATGTCATAGGTTATGCATAACATGTTACTAATTGCATTTTATTAATACAAATAATTTTCCTTTTTTCAGGGACAGGATATCATAGTTGGGAATATTGGCGACTCAAGAGCTATACTAGCAACAAGAGATAAAGACGACTCATTGATGGCTGTTCAACTGACTGTGGATTTGAAGCCTAATCTTCCAAGTCTTTCTCTTTCTTTCTTTCTTTCTTTCTTCATCCCTACCTAATATGAAGACATACAAGTTTAGATTACGAAGCTTTAGAAATAATCTTCCGTACACTTACCTAAAATTCAAGTTTTTTTATTTGTTTCAGGAGAAGCTGCTAGAATCCAGAAATTCAAAGGAAGGGTTTTTGCATTGCAAGATGAACCAGAGGTCGCACGTGTATGGTTACCCAATAGTGATTCACCAGGGCTTGCAATGGCTAGAGCTTTTGGTGACTTCTGTCTCAAGGATTTTGGCTTAATTTCTATTCCTGATGTATATTACCACCGCATAACTGAGAGAGACGAGTTCGTTGTTCTTGCAACTGACGGGGTAATCTTTTTCAAGTATCTTTTTTTCCATTGTTCTCTTCGAATCCATTTGGAACCATTGAAATTTCCTGGTTCATCTTCTTCTATCTTGATCAAAGAATGTGCTTTGCCTAAATTTCTGTGTCTCTGCAGGTATGGGATGTTCTTTCTAACAAGGAAGTTGTAGATATTGTGGCCTCTGCTCCGGGCCCCGCCTCGGCTTCTCGATCTCTCATTGACTGTGCCACCAGAGCATGGAGACTCAAATACCCAACATCGAAAAACGACGACTGCGCAGTAGTCTGTCTCTTTCTGAAACAACTGTCCAAGCCTGAGGAGATTCAGAAACCGGATACTTGCAAGGAGGGCCATGTTCTTGAAGATTCTTGTGGTAAAACAGCAGCAATAATGACCAGTGAGATAGTGCCAGTTGAGGAGAATGTCCTCCCCAAGGGCAAAAGTCGCGGCGAGCAATCAAAGAGAAGCCTGGCTGAGTGCCTTTCAACAGGAGATGATGGTGAAGAATGGTCTGCTCTTGAAGGTATAACTCGGGTTAACAGTCTGCTTAGCATTCCCAGGTTCTTTTCTGGTGATAAAGGTTCTTCTAGTTGGAGAAAATGGTT